TTTGGCTATCTGGGGTCTCTTGTGCTTCCGTATGAATCTTAGGATAGATTTTTCCAGTTCTGTGAAAAATGTCATGGGGATTTTGATTGGCATTGCATTGACTCTATATATGACTCTTGGTAGGATGGTCATTTTCACAATATTAATTCTTCCAATCCATGAGCATGGGAGGTCCTTCCATCTTCTGATGTCTTCCTCAATTTCTTTCTTTAAAGAGTTAAAATTTTCCTTGTAGAGCTCTTTAGTGTCTTTGGTCAGGTTTATTCCAAGGTATTTTTTTTGTGGCTATTGTGAATGGGAGGGTTTCCCTGTGCTCTTTCTCTGACTGCTTGTCATTGCTATACAGAAAGGCTATAGACTTTTGTAGGTTAATTTTATTAAAAAAAATAACTCTGGTGAGGCATGCAAGGCAGATTAATTCCATGAAGAGCTACCTCTAGCTGGAATCCCAGATGGCTTCTTTCCTCCCATTCCATGTTCAAGAAATCCCACTTGTGTGTTCCTTTGCCAACCCCAGGACCCTCCTTAGTAAACTCTTTCTCAGAAAGGTCCTGTTCTCTCTCTCTCTCTCTCTCTCTCTCTCTCTCTCTCTCTCCTCTCTGTGTGGTTTGGTAAGAGAAGGCATGACCTTTCCTGGTAGAGAGGAAAAACAGGTATTTAGTTTTCTTCACACTGATCAGATCAGCTGGTTGGCCTGCTTGAAAACTCTTTGGAAGCTGACTTTAATATGAAGTATCAAGAGTAGGTACAAACCAGAAGGGCCTAGAATGGGAGTGAGAATGTACCTGTGCATTTGGCTCCCATCACTGAGGATGTCCTCTTCTGAGCTTTGCTCCATCCTACGTTCCTCCGGCTTCGTTGATGGCACCCTTCCCCCTGGGAATGCCTGTTCCACTCTCTGTGTCCAGTGAAACACTGCTTTGGCTGCAGGTCTAGTTGATGTGCTGCTCACTCCACTCTACCAGTGGAGCCGCTCTTTCTGTCCCCTGGGGATCTCCCCTGCAGCCCCACCCAGCTCCTTGTGTTGACCCTGTGCCTCCTGTCTAGTCTTCAAGCTATGTGTTCAGAGGCCTCACTGCCCAGTTGCACTGTAAATTTCTGCAAGTTACAAGCAGCTCTTTGATAACTCTGGTTTCCCAGAGGCACAGAGCATGGACCAACGTACAGTCTGTCTTCCATGGGCTGCCTGATAGAACCAAACTTTTTGAGCACTCACTGTGAGCTGGCACAAGAGCACCACCTACTGCTGAGCAGTTCACAGGATACTTCTCTAAGGCCCTTGCTGTTCAGAACTGGAATGGATAGCAGGGTTCATCTTGCAGAGAGAAATGAGATGTGCAGGCAGAAACTAGCACTGGTCCTTTTATAGGAACCCACGTGAGAACACATGAAGTTGTAGAGGAACTGTGAAGGGGAAAATCAAACCCTGGAGACAAAGAAAGGAAATGGAACCTTATACAACCTGTGTCAGAGAGAAAGTCAAGTGGAGGTAAAGCCAAGGCTGTCATGTTAGTATAATGACTGCAATTCAGGAGTCACAACGCATCCCCAAAGTACTTCAGAAGAAGGATGGATAACCAAATGACAAAATGTAGTTTCTTCTAAGGCACAGAAAAGCAAAATAGGTGGTGAAGATTATTAAAACATTAATGCACATTATGCGGTTGTTGAATTTTTGCCCTACCCTTGAGGACAGCAAGCATCCTAAACCCTAAACATAGGGGTTCGTTCACCTTAGTCCTGTGAAGAGTGGGTGGGCTTGCCTCCATTCAGGATGCTCCTCCTCAGTTCTGCACAGTATGCTCTGTCTGGTGGGGTCTGGATGCCAAGCATCTTCTCGTGAATGTGCCTGAGCCTGGCTCCCTGAATGTTCCTTCCAGAGCCCCATGGCTAAGGCTGCCAACAAAAAAGAAGGGAGAAATGGGCAGAGTGCTTGGTTGTCTTCTGCAGCTCTTTGAGGTCCAGCCTACCTAGCACAGATTCCACTCCCCTCCCCAGCCCATCACCCACTCCTCCCAGGACAGGGCAGAAGGGGTGGGGGGCTGCCTCCTGCTCAGCCCATGTGGAGTCTTGTTCCCAGATGTGCAAGAATGATTGGCACAGCCGATTTTAGGATGCGTGGGAGGACGGGATGAGAACATCCACCAGACACTCAGTGTTTGCAGCAATAATAATAGTTCCTGTATGCCAGGAACAGTTCATCTAACTTAACTTGCCAAAGGCCAGATCTTGGTGGATGCCTAAATTTAGTTCTGGGATAAAGTTGGGCACTATTTTCTCAACTTGGATTAAATAGGATTTGACCCTCTTCAGTTCTACATTTTGGGAAGTGAGTAAAGTACATTCCCCTATTTTGTTCCTGAAAATATTTTATCAGTGTTTGTGCTTTAAATGGAAGGAATTTAACTATTTGGAGTCAATATCCTGGGGCTGGCTGGACTGACTCCTGGCTTGGCTGGTCCTGCTTCTCAAGTCTGCTTGACTTGCTGACTCCTGGTGACCATTCTTTCCTCATGGGAGGGTAATGCGTGTCTTGCCAGTGCTTCCGGGGATTCAAGTCATCCAAGCAGGAAAATAAAATGCAAAAAAAACACAACCCTATTTACTACCTGAAAATATTTTTATGAATATTGGAAGGGTGAAACATTTCATCCCAGTCCAGTTTGAGGAGGGCAGGACCTAAGAGAAAGGCTTTTTTAAGGCTGAGCAGGAGCATGTTCCAGACAAAGCTGGGCTGCTGTGCATCTGTCAAGAACAGGGTGTGATTTAGCATGAGGTTTTGCAGCCTGGGTTTCTCTAATCAGAAAGCAACAACTTTCTGTGACTGTGGGTTTATTCTGTCTGAGCCAAGGGAGTGGGAAGGAACTGGCATGCATTCTGAATCTGCTGTGCATCACACTGTGCTCAGCTCCTTTCACACGTCATCATCTGTATCTGCTTTTCCCCAGACATTGAAGGGTTTTGTAAGAAGAAGGTGAGGAAAGGAAAGAAGCTGGGGAAGTAGAAGCAGAGATAGAGTTGGTAAGAAGTCTAAAATATGTTAGTTGCTTTTATATTTGAGATTGGGGTTGGCTTAGTTCCCCCTTGCAATGAGGTCTGTGCCTCTGTGTGTGTGTGTGTGTGTGTGTGTGTGTGTGTGTGTGTGTCCATGTTCCAGTTTAGACATCCTAACTGTGTCTTAGTATAGACACACAGGTCAGGGTTGACAGAAACCTGATTGTATCCCTCCCCCTCAGTGGTTCCTCAGTGGTTCCCTATTGCTGGTATATAGCCCCAGCTCCTTGCCTTGCATGTTTGCCCATTTAGGGCCTTGTTTTAATTCTCCAGGCCTTTGTTCAAGTGATTTCCTTTCACTAAGATGTCCTTTTGAGGTGCAACTTCTTCCCCTGACTGAAAACTATTGTCTTTCAAGTGTTGTTCAAGTTTTTACCGCCTTCTGGAGGCCATCTATGTTTTCCCTGCCCCTTCTTCTGCTACACTGGACCCTAGGTTCCTGTGCTGTCAAACCATAGTACACACATCTTCTGTAGTACCTTTCACATTCCGTAACATTAACAGACTATTGAGTGCATTTGTCTCCCTGATAGTCTTCAACCTTGGTCTTTTATCCTAGTCTCTAACCCAGTGTTATGACACAGTGAGTGCATGACAGGTGAATAAAACTTCATGTCCTATACCATGACCATATGGCTTTTTGGGTTAGGGTGCTTTGGCTGTAAGAAATAGAAAACTGGACTGTAAGTAGCTTAAGTGTCAAGGAAATGTATTATTTCACAATTTAAATAGACATGCAGTGGCTGTGTGAGTAAGCTTCAGGGCTAATGAATCAATAAAGCCTGTCATCAGGAGCCCAGGAGTGTTCTCTCTCATTGTTCTCTCAGAGCTACATCCAAGTCTCCCTTGTAGTTATAAAATGGCAACCAGCAGTTACAGAGCCAGTGAGGGAGGTAGGATGAGAAGAATGGAAAAGAAAGGAAGGAAGGAGGCATATTGAGATAGACAGACACTAGCTTCTGTCTCCTTGGACCCCCAAGCAAATCTCTTCTCAATTCCAATGGTTTATACTGGCTAAAATCAGCTAAAATCTCTAAACCAATAAACAACAAAAGAAAGAGAATTAGCATTGTTGGTTTGAACAAACCATCGAGTGTGGAGTGGATGTTGGTGAGCCAGTGTCCAATACACTGCACCAGGAGGAATTTTCTTGGGGGTCAGTCATGTTGCCTTTTCTTTTTCCTTTGCAACTGTAATAATGCCTGTGTGCACCTACAGTACTCAGTAAGCACTAGCAATATAAGGCTAATTAAACTTTAGTTTAAAAAATAAAATCCCAAACTTAGTTTCTTAGTAGCACTTGCCACATTTTAAGTATTCAATAGGTACATGGATCCAGGGGCAACCCAGCTAGATAGAGAACCTGTCTATCATCACCCCAGGTTTTTTTTTTTAAGATTTTATTTTATGTTTATATTTTGCCTGCATATGTGTGAGTATACCACGTGCATGCCTGGTACTTGTGAAGGCCAGAAGAAGGTGCCAGATCCCCTGGAACTGGAGTTAAGGAAAGATGTTTCTGCCATATGGGTACTGGGAACCAAGCCCAGCTGCTCCAGAAGAGCAGTCAGTGCTCTTAAACACTGAGCCATCTCTCTAGCCCCTCAGCACCCCAGTTTTTATGGAGCAGTGAGTGGTATACTAGACCTTTAGCCATGAGGTCTGTTCCATTGAGGCACACCCAAATGTACATTATTCTTTTTGTGCATTCTGAATGTAGTGCATTTCTTGATCCAGAGTGCCCCCTCCCTGCTCTCTCCTGGTTTTGTTTTGTTTTGTTTTGTTTTCAGATGTTAATTGTGGTTATCATGAAGGCCTTGCTTGCTAATTCGTATCTGGATCACCTCTAGGTCTGCTTCTATTGAGTGATTTTTCTATTATAAGTCACTCTTTTCTGTCTCTTCATATATCTGGGAATTTCAATTCTGTATTAGATACTGTATGGTACCCCATAGAAGCTCCTGGTTAGGTTATCTCCCTCTAACTGTTGTGAAGGCTATAGTCAGGAGACAGTTAAATTATAGCAGATCATCTTGACCTTGCTGAGCTTTGATGTAGGCCTTGCTGTGGTAGGTTCTCTTTCAGCTTTTCATTAGTCAGAGGGTATATCCCTTATTCTGAAGATATGTCTCTTATTCCTTCAGCCTGCTATTTCAACCAAATTCCAGTGTATTTATCCCAGCTCTGTGTGAACTCAAGAGTTCTCTCCAGCTCACCGCAATCCTCACCTTCTGTAGTTGTTCTGCCAGATCATCAAGAGTCTTCTCCTGCAGATGCAAGAACCTGTAGGAAGGGGCTGGAGAGATGGCTCAGTGGTTAAGAGAATCCGACGCCCTCTTCTGACCTCTGTGATATTGCACAATGTGGGTACACTCACATACATGCAGGCAATACACTCATACACATAAAATAAAAATAATAAATAAAATATTTTTAAAAGAACCTGTAGGAAATCATAGTAGAAATTATTAAGGGTCCTTTCTACAACTCCTTCCTCTCTAATGTCATGTTACTTAAATCCTAGTTACCTTTTCAGCCCTGAACTCTTCATACACATCAAGACTTTTGCTGCCTTGCTGGTGATGTGGCCCAAGGGTAGAGTATGAGTTTAACATGTTCTATCCCCAGTGCTATAAGGGCTGTGGTTGCTTTCTGGTAAGCTCCTATGTCTTTGGTCTACAGTTTAGAAAGCATATCAGAGAGCAAGCCAGCTGGGGTTGGGAGTAGGGGACCTCACAGCATGTGCTTCTCTTCCTTCAAGGATCACTGGTCTATGTTGCAAGTTAACTAATGCTGTCAAACAGCTTATGGATGGTAGAGTTGAGTCTGATACAGATGACCTCATCATAGATAGACCACAATCCACATAAACTTGTTAAATAAAAATGCACGCATGTCAGAATCACCTGGGAAACTCCTTTTGAATTTGAATCTCAAGGCCCAGGCCCAGGAAATTGTTGATTTTAAGAAAACACTTCAGATAGCTCTGAAATATTCTAGCTTATGAACTATTGTGATAGACACTAAAGAAACAAATTTAGAAGAAACAGCTGTCATAATGAGCTTCTCTGGTTAAGGAAAACATTAGGAGAAATTGAGACTTCAGTTTTGAAGGCTGGGGCTATATCTGGAGATTTGGGTGTGGAACACTTTGCTGGGGAGCCAGTGTGGAAAAGGCATGAACCTGGTGTGATGTACTTGCATGGCAGTGAATAAATCAACTGGGCTGGAAAGGATACTTGATGTGGGACAGGTTGTGAAATGATAGGGTAAGGCAGATTTGTAGGAAGCATTAAGGAGATTGAGTTATATTGAAATTAAAAACAGCCGGCTGTTAGGATTTGGGGTTTTTTGACTGAGGGAATGACTTGATGAGAGCAATGATTTTAGCAGCAAACCTGTTCAGTAGCTTGACATAAGACAGAATGGAATCAGAGGGATCAGCAGGGAGGTAGTTGCAATAATCTGGACAGGAGAGATGTGAGTAGCAGAAGCACTTGAAAATAAAAGACATGAAGATGGGTCCTAGGATGGGGTGGAGACATAGGAAGTTGAGATAAAGTAATGAATGTTTGATAGAAAAGAAAAGACAGGAGCTGGAGAGATGGCTCAGCAGTTAAGAGCACTGACAACTCTTGCAGAGGACCCAGGTTTGATTCCCAGCCCCCACAAGACACCTAACAACCATCGATAACTCCAGTTCCAGGGGCTCTGACACCCTCTTCTCGATAACTCCAGTTCCAGGGGCTCTGACACCCTCTTCTGGCCTCCACAGGCATTGCAAGGCACAGGT